TATCGCGAGCATATTGAGTTTGCTATGTGATGTTCTGCAAACCTAAAAACCTTACAAGAACAAGACGGGGTGCTCGACATAGTTGTACATCAAACATCGAGAAGTGATTTTTAATGCTTTTTTTCCTTATTTTTTTCAAATAGCCGAATTTCACCGTCGCCTAATGAATCCGATAATAATTTATTGATGTTTATTTATTTGTTATATTTATTATTTATTTATTATATTTATTTATTTGATGCAGAAGACAAAAATATGTAAACGGATATATAAAAGAAATATAATTGGGGAGGGATAACGAAGGAGGCTTAATTAATTAATAAGGAAGGAAAGGCCGGTGTATGTCATATTGGTAATTTTATTTAACTCCATACTGTTGCTATTGCTTCATCAATATTACACTTTACGGCGAGTAATTATGAAAGATTATCTATCTCGAAACCAGATGTATCTGAAGTATTTACTAGTTAAAGATTCAAAATTAAATTAAAATCTTGCTCATAATGAAAGTATTTTAGGCTATCTTATATAATCGGAAAAAAAACGAAAGAAAGCTTGAATTTGCCGTAAATTTCTTAACTTAGTTGATCAATCGACCAATCATTGCTAATAGTACCAGGGTACCGCACATAATTTTTCAATTTTCCCTACATTTTATTTTTAACATTTATTATCATTACACTTTAACTTGATAAGCATGAAATACCTATGGAGACAAGAACGGAACAATGTATTGGATCAAATAAAAGCATTTCAGAAGCAACAAGCCTAAAGCATATTAATGAAGGATGACAATGAGAAGATGACACTTTCAGTAATATTAATATTTTTATCAGTAATATTTTCACTATCTCTTTTTTCAAAGTTAACTAAACTTATCTCTCCATGCAATCTTGGAAATGTTAGCATACATTAAAGACGTATCACAGAATCAGTTTCATATTATTAATTTCATTTTTTTTTTATATTTTAGGATTAAACGGAAAAGTGATCTTTAGACTGGTTGATCTTTAGACATATAAAAGGAGATTTTATCACAGTTTTGGAAATTTTAGAATATATTCCTTTGATTGACATCTAACAAGCAGATGGTGCATTCTGACTTATGAACTATGATTCCTTCGTGTTTGATAAACGGTTAATAAAAGTTTACCTATCAAACACAATAGATGATGATAAGTTATGACGTGACAAATGTAGATGACATGAACGACTAAACGTTCAAAGACATAGAAACATAATGGATAAGAATTTGAGATATTAGATTCGATTATCATCATCTGATATTAGCGATTAAATTGCGATACTACTAGAGTGGCAAAACTGGTGGAAATCCACTTCCCATGCCGGGAATCGAACCCGGGCCGCGTGGGTGAAAGCCACGAATCCTAGCCACTAGACCACATGGGAATTCAGGATCCAGTCCTTTTCATTTTAGGTTCATTCATCCAAGCTTAAACTATTATAAACTATACAAACTAGGGGTGTAGTTCAATCTAGAAGTTAAACTAACACTAGCTCTGACAATAAAATCTTTTATTTAATTAAGAAAGAAAACAGATTAAATAAAATTAAAAAGAAAAGCTTACTAGTACAATAAAATGAATAGAATGCAATGTTAGTAATATTCGACAAATTGTTTTATCACTTTTCTTGTCCTTTGATTAAACTTATCAGTCATCGTAATAAATCATATCTAAGAGAAAGATAGGAGAAAAAAATATAACAAACTTCTGTGGTTTATATCGATTTTTCAATTACTGGTAAAAAACCGAAAAGTGAAAATCAGAATTAAATTTAAATTGAAAACTTACAATTATTTGCATAAGAATTGATGAGAACAAAGACAACAAATTAATAATTATTTAATTGACGCTTTTTATCATCCACACATTTATGCAACACTTTTGTCCCATATAATTTAGATATAATAAGGCTATAGTAAGAATTATTATTAATAATTATTATTAATTATAACACTAATAATATAATAATAATAATAATATTATTATTATCAACCATTGTTTATTATTATTATTATTATTATTATTATTATTATTATTATTATTATTATTATTATTATTATTATTATTATTATTATTATTATTATTATTATTATTATTATTATTATTATTATTATTATTATTATTATTATTATTATTATTATTATTATTATTATTATTATTATTATTATTATTATTATTATTATTATTATTATTATT